CAAAGAAAGCCATAACCTGTAAAAATATAGATTTTTTTGTTTATAATTAAATACGATTCATAACTAGCTGAATTGAGACAGAAAAAAAATGTTTTAGTCGTCTTCACTACTATCATTGCCATGACTCCAGAAAATTGCACTGATTTGCTTGAAGAGACGAGTAGCAATGTTCTGATATTCTTGTTGTTGACGTTGTGTTTGCATATCAGCATTTCGTACAGCTGCAAGACCATTGAAATATTGTGTACAATTCGACGCGAGCAGAGCTGCATTAGTATCACTTTTCTATATAAGCTATTTCCTGTATTTCTCGTTGATGAACTTGTGCAAAGGAGCCATTTGAGTTCAATTGTGTGATAAGTGATGAGTTTGATTAAGAAATGATTGAGCCAAACTGTTATTGGCACATAATTTTGATGCCCATCGATTGATATCACTACCTGACGAAAAACGATCGCCACCATCCTTGTGATGTTCTCCACCGAAATGTCCCCGAGCTGCGACAAGACCAAAGCATATGTAAAACAGAGGGCTGGCAATGATTATGCTAACATGAATCAACTTCAAAGCAACTTACAAACGCAATAAAGATGACAAGCTTGTTCATGTTTGTGTGTTAGATTTTCGCATATTAAACATACAATTTCTTCTTGCTTATTTATATGTGTGCTCCAATGTTAGAAGACAAGAAAGGAAAAAAAACAAGCAAAAGAATACACTTTTTGTTCGATTATTGGACTCGGTACGAACAAGAGTAGTGAATGACGCATATACACAAAGAACGGTACTATTACTCATTCCTGTTTTTTTGGCATTATTTTATGTCAGAACTCTGAAAAAAAAGTCACAAATAAAATTGATGAAATGCTCTCAGTTCTACATCTCAATTGCTACTTTGCACTCGTACGCTTTCTTCAATATGGATTGATGCCATTAATTTCATGAATGGACCAGCCATTGCATCGATCTAAGAGCACAATCTAGTTTTCATTATTTTCCAGTCAAATATATGTATAAAATATTGTCGTTTCATACGAAACATTAAAGCTGTCATCTCGATTTTTCTTCTGATTATTATTAATATGATTCATCTTGAATAATGAATCAAACTGATGCGATCATGCTTAGTAGAATTCTTGAAAATTACAAAGTACAATGAATAAGAGCGATAGCTCGACTGATTAGTGTTAAGTACACTTAAAACGTTTTTTGTATTTTATCACAAAATATGAAGATATTATTTATGAGAGATGACTAGAAAATGTCATGTATTGATTGTTGAAATGATTCATACGATACCGATGCACACACATTGTTAATGATGACATTGGTAACTTCACAATGATCTTCATTAGTTCTTTTCTATTAAAATTGATGTGAACGGTGATCAATAATCAAATTTTTCTGAAATATGTACGGTTCTTCGTTTGAAATCTTTGTCAAAGACGAGCAATAATTTTCGATATCAGAATATTGTCTCCAATAAAGCTCATTTCTAACCGAAATTATAATAAATGGATAATCAACATTTGATCTCCTCGATTAAAAGTGAATCTTTTCTTTTCATGATTATCAATGTACTATTAATTTTTCTTTTTATCGTATTTGAACTATGTTCATCGAAACTACTCAGCCTGTTTAACAAATCCGATCTCAGGATTTTTTATATTCAATATCAATTAGGTGGTGACTGAGAAAATGCTTTTTTGCAAATGCTGATCGACCAGTATAAAGATATTCTCTATTCAAAACCACAGTTTTCCATTGACTAGTTAAGTAACGAGTATGATCATGGTATACATATCAGTTAGCCTATTTCGGCAAGTACAAGCTGAAAATAAAATAAAAGCTATTGTATTGAATGAATTTTAAGAGAGTCAATGAGCAAGAATTACTTTTTTAAGAATGTGGCTGAAATATTCAATGATACCAACAAGTATACATTGTGGTCCTTGTCATGAACTTAACGAATCCTCTTTATGTTCGATACCGAATATCGAAATCCAATTTGAATGATTTTGTTCAATTTTTGTGCGCAACTATCTCGTTTATTTAGGGATATGCAGTTTCACCTTACTAATAGCTTACGCTACCGATTCACTGAGCACTGAACCCTGGCTACACTGCATCGCTATACACTGGAACGCTGATAACACTGAGACACCGACATGCATCGGCATAGATATGTCTAATACATCAGTAAATGTTCGTGTCCCAGTGTACAGTGATGCAGTGTAGCCAATGTTCAGTGCTCAATGAATCGGTGATGTCAGTGTCAGTTTTCCCAGTTTTTACACTCGAACCGCACATCCCTAGCTGTGGCTATGGCTGTGGATATGATTTCGTGAGCAAAAAAATAATACTCACAGCATGTTTACATCAGTATCCACCAACATCCATCCAAACCCACACCTTCTACTTTGAAGAAGAATAGCAAATAAGTAAGAAGAAAAGTCGAAAAAACTGTAGAATCATTTGAATGTCTGCATAGGTATCAATGGAGAGTTTCATCTCTTTGTTAATTATCTATTCAGTAGATAGGATTAACATGTGCTTTGTGAAAAAGAAATTGTATAGTTATTGTTTTGATTTATGTCTTAATTATTTGCATAAGAATTAGATACAATCATGAGAAACATTCATGCGTCTTGAATATTGATTGAAGGCATACTTAATTTGAACTTTTCTCTAAATGCGATCAAAATTTCGATGATCAAAACTGGAAGAGAAAAATATAGAGCTGAAAGCAAGACAATATTTGATAAGATATTTTTATTCAGTAAATATTAATTGATACTTTCAAAGTTTAAAAGAGAATTGAATGCTTGAAAAAATTCTTTCCAAAAAATACGATACCAGCATGATTCCAAATATAATTTCTATTATTTTTTCTCTTTCTTCGACTACAACCTCGATATGTCAGAATTGGTACAATTAACAGAGTACTAATTAGTATTTGAGAGGAGTGTTAAATAAAAAAACATGATAGAATTTCGACCGATAAGAATAGTTGCAGCTGCTTCCCTTCTCCTCCATCACAAGGATAACTAATTCATTAATGTTACAGACAATTTCCTAACTCATTACAACGTCGATTCACGCATTCAAAGAAAAATATACTCATCGCAAATATCTTCTCTTCTAGTCAATAGGGCACTATGATAAAAAAAAACATTGTAGAACAAGTGTTAAAAATTGTTTTATAAATTATTGAACGCATAGATCAAATTGCATTACTCATACCAGGTTATGGGTGTATTTATGAAAAGATCGCTGTGTGAGTGGATAGGCGAATGTGACTGACTATTACTGTGACTTGGGGTAGGTGAGAAAGCCACATTTACTCATCCACACGTACAAAAATGATTAGCTGCTTTGTAAGAGATCACACTAATACAATCAATGGCACTTTCATGAATAATCACATCAATTATGATCATGAGTTTGACTGTGATGAAAAAATAAGTGGCCATGCTAATATCTAGACATGATATACACAAATGAGAGTACAACACACATGTGAGACGATGTATTGTGCAATATATAAGCAAGTTGTGCCTTTTTGAGTCAGAAATCAAACCAAGTGTCTTTCAAAATGTCGCTAATTCAAGTCAATCCATCGGTATAAAATACAAACTTTGAATTCAAAGTCATTCTTCGCTTTGATCAAGTAACATGTTTTTATTATGTATTAACTTATAGGAAACAACATGCATTCGTTATTGATTATATTTTAACGTCGTTAACATTTGTAGAGTCCTTCTTGACATTCTGACCGATACTAATGAGATAGAAAATAGAAAATCACCTTGTGAAGATAAATGAATCATATTCAATTATAATCGAAACTGGATTTTAGTTAATTAACTTAATGAAATAGTTCACAAATCAACAACCCGCACTGTTAGGATTGTTTATGTAACTACTGTTGACAATGCTAGATATTATTTTTTGTTACGTGATAAATATAATTGAGATAAACCATCATGCAAAAAAGTAGTCATTTTTTTATAGGATAGTCATGATAAAGAAAAAAAAAGTATTTTCATATTAGAATAGAGAATAACATTAGGTAATGTAAATCAAATATATGATTAAGACGCTCCAAACCCCTTCCCTAATTTCGAAAAAACTATTATTTATCGAATTTCTGCTGCTTTTTCTTTATTTTATAGAGGTTTTACTGAAGATATTGGAGTTAAGAAAAAGATGTTATGCGAAAATGTTGATTATTGGTGGATTTTGAATCTTTTGTTAGGTTTCCTTTGATAACGAATTTAGACGAGATCTACGTAGTAGAAGGCGCTATAAACCTTCAATTACACACTCTTAACTTTAAAGCTATTCACCATAGTCGATAGCATTTAGAAAATTATTATCAATTTGTTTTCTATGTCATTATAATAAGAAAAAAACTTGGTTTTCAACTCCAAATCTCTTCCGGTAAGGTTACACCTAATGTGTCTAACTTGCAGTGGCAAATGTTAGCTATACTTTGACATGAGCCAGAAATCTGTATCATTAGATTTAAAGTAGGAATCGTTAAAATAGGACGACCTACCTTCTAACCCCTGATACCATGTTATATCTTGTATACCTCAATATTTTATGTTGGATTTTCGACTGAGAGCTACACGCACTTAGACTCATGTTCGTTGAAAATTCCAGGCAGACATATTGTTCTTGGGCAAAAAAAGATTTCAGAGTGGGTAGGAGCCTTTAACTTTCAAAAAAGATTTGATTTGACGTGCTTTTCTTTGATGTTGCTGTTCACTTGTTTGATGTAAAACAAAAATATTGTGAATAATATGAGCTATTGTGAAATTCGTTTGTTTGTTTTGAAAGATATCTTTTACGTAATAAAATTTTTTCATGAGTTTGAAAACGCAACTTCAAAGAGGCTCACTAACTCAACTCTGTTAGTAGATTAGTGAAATTTACATCATTCGATTTTTTAGTTTTGTTGATCATATATCTGTAAAAAAATTGATTTCGTTGAAATGTCATTCAATGAAGACGTTTCAATATGGATCGATTTAGAAATAGATGGATTAGATTTAACCATAAATTTTATCTTAGAAATTGCTTGTATCGTTGCTGATTTTGATTTAACAAATATTCATCAAGACATCATATATTCATATTTTCTATTAATAAAATATTTCTTAGGACCTGATCTTGTGATTAATCATTCAAAATCATTACTTGATGCAATGGGATCATGGTGTACAGAACATCATACGAAATCAGATTTTGTTCAACAAGTTTTAGATAGTAAATTATCAATGTCGAATGCTGAAACAGAAATAATAAATTTTATTCAACAAGTAACATCATTCTCAACAAATAAAAAACGTCTTATTCTTGCTGAAAATTTTGTTTATGTTGATCGATATTTTCTTGAAAAAGACATGCCACGTTTAAATTCTTTACTTGATCGATCCATTCTTGATTGTAGTACATTAAAGGAATTAATTCATCGTTTTAATTATAAATTTTATACAAATGCACCAATTAAAACTGGAAATCATAATCGTGCATTAGATGATATTCGTAATAGCATAAAAGAATTAAAATATTATCAGAAATCAGCTTTTGAAGTAAAATAAATAACTAAACAAAATCAATTACCTTTAAATAAAGATATTACACAATATCTTATATGGATAAATATTAATTCAGTGATAATACATTGTATTCTAACTGATAAGAATCTTAATATAATTGATGAAATTGTTGATGGAAAAATAAATGATGATCTAATGAAATTTGTTCGTCGAAATCAAATTTATCGAGAAAGACGTCTTGTTGTAGCTGGAAAATCTTTAGGTTCAATACGAAGTGAATTAAAAAACTTGGCTCCTCAATTTAGCGAATTTTGCCATTATCGATCAATTGATATCGATGCTATTTCAGTTTCATGTGAAAAATGGTTTCTAAATATTTATAAACAACGACCTTTTAAGAATGATAATGATTTAAAAAATTCCATTGAACTTCTTCGTTTTTATCATTCGACTATATTTAAATAGAGAAAAGAAAAATAAGCAAACAAACAAACAAACAGAAAAAAGTTTTCATAAAACATTAAAAAAAAAGGAAAAACACTTTTTGCTGATGGAGTTATTTTATGAACTTTTCATATTGCAGTAGAAGATGATACATTAACTAAACGATTATTCGTTGATGATAGACTTTTTGAACCATTTATTTGTAATGCAAAATGAAGGAGATATTGATTTGATTGTTATATTAAGAGAGATGATACAACTTGTAAACATATATTTAAATTGTATATACAAATATTGACTAATTGATGAACACTATCGAATAACGAATGAGCACTGAGAAATTTACGTTGTAATAAAAGAAAAAATTCTTCAATCAAAGCCGGAAATGGTAATCCGAAAAAAAAGATATACATGTGAAAACAATTTTTGCTCTCGTCTATTTTCTTACACAATTATGTGTTGTATTTATGGACATATAGAAGCCAAAACTTGCTAGAATTAATTCTGTATGCCTTCTTCCACTGCAGTATTGAATTTCTATGAAACGTCGCTTAAAAAAATGACGGTATCAAATCTGTTCAGAAGGTTACATGCGTACAAAAATGTTTCTAAATACACATCACGCGATGCTCATTTCAGAGACAACTCTGTACCGCTTCCAATGAGTGAAAAAATACTATAATTTTCATTTTTATGAGCTTTCAAAATCTGAGGTAAGGTTTCCTAGGAAACCCGTGACTACTTTGATATTGAAGTTTGAATGCAAAATTCTTTTCATTCAGCTGAAAGAGAATAAAACACAAAAGATGCAGTTTAGTAGATTGAACACTATTCAAAAGAAATTTGTTCGAATTTGACCATCGATGCAAAAACAAGCTAACAATTTTCTGTATAATTAGTCGAAGAACATTTTAACATAAGCGTCCGATATAGTTATATTATGTACTTAACAAAAATTCATTTAGATTCTTATTGAGTGACTCTTTAACTATACATTAATCTACGATGAGACGCATCAACTACAAAACCGCTTACTTTTGCTACTCGTTGAAATATCATCTGAGACGGTGAGATGTCCATATGATACCAACTTTATCCGATTTCTTATACGATACTTAGTTTGCCCAAGCTGAAATTCAGATATAATAGATAATCTATGAATTTCGTTTTCATGATGTCGTGATAATCAAAGTGATAGGATGTGGGTGTGAGTGTACAGAAGAAAGCATTCAGGTTCGCACACCTATCCTCAACGTCAGCCCAAATTCACACTCACGTATCCATTCCAATCAAGAACCATAGAGAGTAGTTTATTTTCGCATTGCTGATGAACATAGTATTTTCATGACTGAAAACGAATTTAATGGCTCATAAGTGATCCCAGATCATTTTTGAAAATATCTTTAACACAATGAGCAATTTTTTCAAAAAGACATTTTTTGTGAAAGATGTATTTTGCTCGGTGTGGAGATTGATGAAAATTTGAAAACAATCGGACATCATTTTTTTGTACGTTTACAAAATCGATATGATCGATTTTGTATCTACTTTCAATCGAATTATCATTTTTTTATTCCATTTCTGATTTAATTGAAATAATTTTTCCACGCGATAGTATTCATGACTCACTAATTAGTTACAGACGAGTTCGCATTTCCAAATATTTCCATTTAATTACGTACTGATTTATAAAGAATCTTTTTGTCCTGTTTTTTTCCTGCGTTCGACTTAATTTCTGTAAATTTTATTTTAGCGTAAGATAAACGAATTATACAGTACTAGTCAAAGATAAAAGACTACTTTATTTTTGATTTTCTTTTCAAATTATAAATGCTAAACAGTTGACTAAAATTCAAATAGTGTATCTGATAGCCAATGACGTTCTCTATATAACAAATTCTATAGAAGAGTTTGATCAATGAAGCATGATAGAAAGATTTCTAAAATAAACTAAAAGTCATATTTTTGAAGTTCTAGAAGACACTGCTGAACAATTTTTCGACAGCCCATCTTACAAAGTTCAAAACTGAATAAAATGCGAATACCCATCATTTTTCTCAGAATTTCAGGCCTTTTCAAAATCGCGTTGTCGAAAAGTTTTTCCAACGTCTTCAAAAACTTGAAAAAAATTCTTTATGAGTTTTTGAACATCTTTCTATCGTGATTCACTGATGAAACTCTGTCAGAGAGTGCATGAAATAGGAAACTTCATTGGATCACAGAATCACTATTTGAATTCGATGTAACTGTTTAGTATCATAGAAAAAAATTAGAAATAAACGGGTCCCATATTTTTGGCCAGTATTGTACACGTAATTATCCCAATTTTGAATTCTGGCGAAGTCAATCTTCGATCATGTCAAGGTGTGGGTGAGGCAATGAGAACACAATAGACCTCAAAATTTTTCGGGCTTCAAGACACAAGTCTCTGTTTTTTCGCTCGGGATGATGACGGATAAAGGTATTGATAAAGAGAAGACCCATACACCTACTCATATCTCCATATGAATTTTATTTTCTTGTTTTCATGCACGAAAGTTGAACTTCTTTCAAATAACTTTCATGATCATGTATAAGTGATGATAATTTGAAAAATACTTTACTATTGAGCACATGCTTTGAAAAATTGCCTCAAAGATATGCATTTTTTATTTCTTGCATTTAACTGTGCTGTTGCAAGCCAGAAGATGAAAGAAAGTAAAAAATTCCTTTAAGTATGTAATAATGAGCATGTGAGAACGAAAGAGAAAAGTTCTTCGTTCTATACGGAAAGCTTGTACGCAGAATGAACGAAAAGCCAGGTAATTCGAAGGATGACACATGATCAAACAAGATATTTCTTTTCTTGTGTTTGTTTTTATAGCTACATTTTGAATGAATCTGTAGTTTCTACTGTATTAATGAGTTTATTGATTCCAACCAACGACAGTATACATTAAATTTGACTACTGGTTTCTTACAAAAACGTTTTATTTTTGTAAGATATTGTTTCATAGTGAATAAAAAAAGAGGCTGTTGAATTAATCGGAAAATTTCGAGATGTATTTTTAACTCAATACAAATATTAGTTTCTGCAGAGAAGACAACAAGGTTTTTTGTCGGCGAAAACAAAAAGTACAAGATAACGAATTCAACATTCGTATTGAATTGATTCATTCACAAATATTTAGGTAAAAAGAAACCGAGACTTCTAAGTAATGACATTGTTTTGAGAGAAACACGCTTAAAAACTTTCACGACCAACAGCGAGCTTTCCCTGGCCCAAAAATAAGCATTAGCCTGAATATGTGGTGCAATCACAGAGGCTCAGATCGTATGATAAAATAGTAAGTTTAGTTACCTATTTAAGTACGTCAGCCTCTGTATTTGCGTCATGATTTGAAACTTCTCTATTTTTGTCTCTTTTGACTTATGCTATAATTATTCAAATTTACTTTTTAGTCGATTTGAATATTGGTTGAGAACCCATGCCAAGCAGTAACAGTGAATATGATTCAGTTAGAGAATACGAAGACGCATATCAATATAGAAAACCTCAACAAAGACGAATTGATATGTTAAAAATTTTAGTATGGGAATGGGTGAAGAAAAATTATGTAAACTCTTCGATACATATGGTAGAATTATCGGTTGTAAAGTAAGTGAATAGAGTGATGAAAATATTTTATTCTTTTTCTTAACTTAACTTGAGATTGCAAAGGATTCATATAGTCGTTCAAAGACGTTTGATTTCATCAATTTTCAGAATCCAACTGCGGCAGAAAATGTGAATATTTTTTCTTTTTATTGTATCTTCTCAGATTTTACACTTGATTCATGATAGGCTATTGTAAATCTCAATGATTTTCTCTTAGTTAACGAAAAACAATTATGTGTTTGTTTTGAAAACGAAAAAGATCGTGAAAAAGAGCAATGACAAGCTTATTTTAAATTATATGAAGATCGAAATTTATATATTAGTAACAGAGATGAGGACAGGACACAAAAACTCGTCCTGCATTTTTAGATATAGTTTTTGGATAAATTGTTACAAATGTTTTCCTTGAATACTATAGTACTTATCACAATCAGTTATACTTCACATATTAACTATTAGTTATAGGTGTCACTATAAAAGTGATAAACAACATTTGTATCACATTGGTCGACAAAAATGTTAAGCCACAAGTGAGCATACAATAGAACAATAAAAATAAATAAATACAGATAAACAATACTTGTCGATGATTATATATTCTCTCGTGCTTATTTTCCTTTGTTATTCAACCCTACGTTTTTTAGATAACTTTCAGATTTCTAACCTTTGGAAAACAAGATTATTTATGGATGTAGTTGAAATTAATGTAGTAGATGAAGCTCCTCTCGATTCAGAAAAAATCAAGCTTTTACTTCATTTAGACAATACAAAATATATAGTTATCGAAAACAAATCATCAAAAACATTCTCATCTTAGTGGAAAGTATTTGAATTTCCAGCACAATTAGAGAAAAATAATGAGTGTCAAAGTAATTTTGGAAACGTTAGTCGCTTCAAGTGCTTTCAAAGGCTTATTTATTCTTCCAAAAGTGAAACAATACGTTTAAAGGAACACGAAAACAGATGCATCAAAAACATTTCTTCATTATCATCTTCATCTTCGTCTATTTCAGTTTCTTCTGAAGCAATTGATCAATCTAGTGCTTCATCATCAGTACAATCTACACTTGCTCAACATAGATTGGAAAAGTCTTCAAAATTAAGTGAAAAAGATATTGATAATACGAAACAACTAAGTTCTCAATTGATGTGCAAAGATCTTCGCCCATTTCTCGATGATAGAAGATTCTGGATTTCGTGCAATTGCTCAAGAATTAATAAGTATTGATAAGATGATTTATTTTCATTTATTTAGGAACTATAACACTTTTTATGGTTTTCTTGTAGGACATAAATATGGAGTAGTTGATGCTAATAATGTTTTACGAGGTCGTCATACGACAGCCAAAACTATTTATGATCTTGCTGATTCATATAGAGAATGTATAAAACAAAAGTTAATTGAACCACTTCAACAACGTGCTGTTACAATATCTTCGGATTTTTGGTCGGGCACTTATAAAAATATATTGTACTTGGGATTAAATGTTTCATTTGTTGATGCTAATCATCAATATTCTCGATTGATCTATTTTGTCGTCCATATTTTGGTGTTAAATCCGACGATTTAGTAATAAAGGTCAGTTTGTTTTGAAAAGCTCAATATTCATTAAAACCTCATATTTCTATTTTTCAAACGATATCTGTCAAAAATATTTTTTCTCATAAATCCATTGTTTTACTTTTCACTGCAATGAGAAAATTCCTAATGTATAGCGCTTTTTAGTATGTAGCAAAAAAGTCGCTTAAATAAAAATAAAGTTCTGCTTTAAAGGTATTTTCAAATTTCTGACAGTACAAATTCTTGTGTACTATTATAATCTGACTTAAATATACATTTATGTTTATTATAGGCTCTTGAAGCACATTTACTTGAATTTGGGATCAATGATTTAACTTTGATCAACATTTTATGCGATAGAGATTCAAATTTTGTAACACACTTTCGAGATTATGATCCATTATTTTGTTTTGAACATCGCCTTAATAATATTCTGAAAACATCATTTTTTCAGAGTGCAAAAAAAACAAGAAAAAGCTCCTATTCAATGTCGATAGTTGATATTACTACATCATCAAATATTAGCACAGTAACAAAAGAACAGAAAGATGGTGTACCAAGTATAAATGATATTTTATCAAGTGAAGAAGAATCTGAAGATGATGAAGATTTATCAACATCAATTCCAGTGATACGCAAACGAAAACAAAATATTTTAAAATTAAAAGGCGATAATCAACAGTTGTTACCAAAAGTATCAATTGATAATATTTCTGGTGAAGCAAAAGCTGTTTTTATTGCATTACCACAATGTAAAAAGATTGTAAAATTTATCAAAAAAGTAGTTATTTGGAAGTTTTAGTATTAATATTAATAAACTATTTAAAAACTTTATTCTAGAGCAGGTTAAACAAGAAAATTGAGAGAAACGGAGGGGTAACAGTGCATCAAACAATCAAGATTCGTTGGTTATCAATTATGGAATCATTAGAATCCATATTAAAATCATTTATAATTATCAAAAGAATTTTAATTAACAAACAACAGCAAAAGCTTCTGATACACGTGAATGACAAAACAATTAATCAACTTTTATTATTATTAAAAATATTTCAAGATGTTATTAAACTAATTCAAGTTCGTAATTCACCATCGTTACACATGGTATTATTATGTATTCAGACACTGAGGGATGTCTTGAAATGTTACGAATCATTGGTAAATTATGATAATAGTCGTGATAATTGTGAATTAGAACAATTAGGGGAAACAGGTGATGATTTATTAGAATAGTTAGAAGATAAAAGTATCAATGGAAAATACCATCTTAAAATGAATATTTTTCATTTTCTAGATGTAACATTTTTTTTACATCGAATACGAAATTTACTGAACGAAATGTTAATACTGGAAGTTAGGCATTATGCTGCGACCGCATTACACCCCAAATACCGCAATTTCATCAAACGAACTAAATTCACAACAAATAGAGGAAGAACAGTAACAAAATTTAAAGGCGATCGATTTCGTCGATTTGAGCAAGATGGTATGAGTACGCAACAAGAAAGGGCGACGAATCTGAAAATGAAAGTGAAGAGTATTCGTTCGCTAGTAAAAAATTAGACGAATTTGATCGTTATTTAAGTTTGGAGCTAGATAGATTCAAGTTATCATCAAATCCTCTGAGTTTTTGGACAGACTAACACAAAAAGTTTCCATAATTATGTCCTCAAGCTCGCTCGATGTTCTCAATTCCTGTTATTTCTGCGGGTGTAGAAAAAGAATTTTCTGCAGCAGGATTAGTTATACAAGAACGAAGAACAAATCTAAATCCTGAACGATTAGATAATATTCTTCTGGTGGGATCGATGTAAAATTATGATGATCTTTTACAATAATGTTTGTTTTTTCTGTTTAGTACTTTTTTATATGTTAAATAATGCAGCAGATAGAGAAACTTTTCTTGTTCAAATTAATTTTATTTTTATTTTTATTTTTGAACGACTATTAGAATTTTCGACCATTGGCTGGTATTAACAGGCTAGCGAAATGCGGTCATCATCAGTATAATTAAACCATTAAATTAATTCATAATTCATATATCATATACCGAATCATATAACATTGATCTCTAAAACTCAATCCATATTGCATAGTTCATAATAACACCATATTTATAAATCAATAAGTATTAAGACAGATAACAAACGCTAGTTAACTAAACTGCTATATTTATCGTTATACATAATATTAAAAATGTAACTTGAGAACGATTTTATAGATCAATATTCTATGTTTTGGTTTTAGAGATCAATGTTATATGATATGGTTTATATTAAGCTATATGATTTGGTATATGGTATATGGATTATGAATTAATTTAATGATTTAATTATACTGATGATGACCGCATTTCACTAGCCTGTTAATACCAATCAATGGTCGAAAATTCTAGTAGTCGTTCAAAAATAAAAATAAAAATAAAATTAATTTGAACAAAAAAAGTTTCTCTATCTGCTGCATTATTTAACATAGAGATATATAAAACGTTTAAATCGTTTTCAAGTTACATTTTTAATAGTACTTTTTTCTATCATGAACACTTAAATTATTGAAAAACATTCATTGATCAGTCATTTTTTTAATTTTTGTTGATATTATTATTATACGAGCACTATAATGACGATTATGAGAAATTTATAAATCTTGTTTTACAACATTTTTTTGCGTGATGAACTTGTTACTAGAGAACTAGAGGGTCGTGTTCATTTTTTGGATTTATTCAGTTAAATATTGTTTAAAAATAGAATTATGGTATTTATAAAATTATGAAATACATGTATTACAAGATGATCGAGACATTTGATATATGATGAATTTAATACAAAATTAAAGATATCATGTTTGTCCTGCTTATTGTCCTGTCCTATCCTGTCGAGTGGCAGGACGGTGGCTAGTGCCGGACAGAACAGAACAGAAAAAGTTGTCCTGTACTCATCTCTGATTAGTGACCTGGATGAAAGTATTAATGATCGAAAACTAAAAGAAACGTTTGCTACATATGGTCAAATTAGAAGTGCGATGGTAAATGACCAAATATAATCAGAAAAAGTTGGATCCATTTTTATTAAAGGTTGTGATGAAAAATTGTCGATATCATGGTTATGGATTTGCATGCTTTAATACAGTTGATGAAGCGAAAGAAGCTATAGATGGTAGGAATGGAAAGAAACTTCGTTGAAAACCAATCTATCTAGGAATGAACAGAGGATCAATAAAAAACAAATGTGTTCATATTATCGATATGCACAGAGCTGTAAGTATCTCTGTGCTTATATTTTGGTGGAGTTGGATAGACTAATATCACTCATTTTTGAAACATACCACATGTCTATATTTATAGTTTCAATCAAGTCAAGTGGACGAGCATCATCTGAAGCAAATAGTTCATCGCTACAATCTTCTAGGATATATTCAACGATCATCAGTTTCGATATGATATTGAAAAAAAAATTTTTAAGCTAGCTGTCAAAACTCTCATAGTGTTGAGTTGAATCAACGAATAAATCATCAAAAACAATACTACTTCGAATGATGAAAATGAAGAACAGAAATTTGAAAGTTGAAACAAAATTATAATTATGTATGATTGTACTGTATTGATTCTTAGCTTTTGCTCATAAAATAAAAATTGAAAAATTCAATTCTATCGATTGTCAGATAAAAAGAAGCTCAGGTAAAGTCGTACGAGATTATTCTTTCGGGAATACTCTGAAAACTGATTGAATTTGATAGCAGTGTTCCGAGCCAGAATATTTCCAGATTCTTTTCATGATTTCGGAGGAACTTCTTGCTCCTTTTGAAAGAAAGTAGGTACAAGTTAACGACAAAACTTCCGAAACATTTCAGCTCGAAATACTGCTTCCACTTTCTATTGATTTTCTTTGTTTTTCTTGCTTGATATCCCAATCTTCCAGTATCTTTCCAGTTGGTTGGGGCGAAATCAGGCTTTTGCCGAAGTTTGGAATCATTTATCTTGCAAGTTAAATGTTCTTCACTCTATGAATGGCTTAACCAACCTAGAACTAAATCGGATGTCGCTCTATCACCAGGAAAAAGACTAGACTAAACATGGTCGTAAAATTTTTTTCCTTTTTCATTTTCTTCATAACCGTTCTGAAGAACCAGTTAGTGAATTATTTCTATACAATAATTTCTTGAAATATTCATAAGTAAGCAATATATGTTGGATGACCTTTCGTCTGTCTATTTAACAGACCACAAAACAGACAAATGATTTCCTGATAAACAACATTTTAAAAAAATTGAATTTTCTAGTTTTCAAACATGTAGTGAATTTCGAAAGAGTTGAAACGCGGCATTGTCAATGTAGATGTGGTTAGAGACAATCTCACATCCGCATCCATCCACATTCTGAAATATTTAATATAAAATATCGAACAAAGTTTATAGAAATGTTAGAATTTTTAAATGAACATAAATTGAATAATCGTGCACTATGAAGATTCATTTTCTAGGTACAATGATATGTAAGATTGAATTTCTCAAACTGCTAGACAGTTTATTTTGTGTATTTTTGTAGTTTTTTATTGCTTTTGTTAAAATTGCACTTATGTATTAGTTCTATTGTTAGTAGTTTGTGAACTTTTCTTTGTCGCATCAGATTATGGGGTTTTGTGCATTATATGTTTCGAACATGAAATAAAATGCATAAAAAAATAGTTATAAATTCAAAAAATAAAATCTCGATAGGTATTCACACAAATATCTTTAATGTGAAACAAGCGTGTTGTTTCTATTAATCGATGATTCATCGTTGTGACGCACATTATTTCTTTTTTCGTTGCCTACAATTTGAAACAGTTAGATAATGAGATAAATGCGCATTCTAACTGTCAAGAATAATGCAAAAAGCATCAATCAAAACACAATAGTAATACGTTGCTAGATAAAGAATGAGAAATAAAAAAAAGTCATTTGATGATGCAGAACGTTTTTTTTTTCATGGACATGAAGTATTAATAATATCCAATAATAAAATCATATTGAATGCTTTTTATTTTTAACCTTGACTTGATATATTCTGAACGTCATTCCTCTCTGTTTTTTTATGGAAAGAAGCACTGTGCACTATTCGACAATGATAGATAAGATTCAGGTATGTTTCCTTTTTAACAATTGACTTTGAAGACTATAAAAACAATATTTGAATAATAAGGTACTTCAATAATTGGCAAATGCCACAGAAGAAGACACGATCTACAGCACTTCTGCTTTAATTTCTAAATGTCTCACTAACAAGTTTCAATATGCTTGAATGAGGACCGGTGTAAACAATGAAGTGAGAAAGTTGTTTTAATTTCAAAATAAAGATGAAAATATATAGAACATTCTTTTTATTGCAAGCTTTCAACACAAACATGTATCATCATCAAGCAATTACGACAATTTTTACAAAATTTCGCGAATATATTAATGTTTTATGATTCATCAAGTTTTTTCTTTTGAAAGTCTTCGACTAATCATAGTTTTAAGATTCATTCTAAGTCTACTGTGTAAATCTTTTTGTGAGAAGTGTTTCGTTGATTTCACATTTCCACTCATTGGAATCATATACTAATATATTTGTTTAATCGAAGTTGAAAATGTGATGCATTTTTTTCAGAATGTTATATTATAGTTGATGATTGACTATTATTTAATTAATATTTTTCTTTTTGTTATTTCATTTTTACATGGATGTCTTTTACTGTTTGTCCTACACATTATTTTTTCACAATATGCACAGTTAATACAATAAATAACACCAATTTTTAAAAATTTTTTTTCTTTTTCTTTTTT